TGAGACGCTGACGCATATTACTGTAATACCTCCCCTTTGGGCTTTGGTTCTTTCTCTTCCTTTTCATTTGCACAAGAAGCGTTTTATTAATTGCAGGTAAGAAAATCCGTTCTTTTTTAGATCAATCCACTCGACGTAATGTTTCCTTTTTATCGAGAAAGTGTTAACTGGGGCTGATGTATCTATTAGACATTTTTGTCTTGAAAACAGCATTCATCAATAAGTAAAAATTATTACTTTGTTTATTCATCACAAATTTCAAATGTGAAACTGATTCATAGTATAATTGACTACAATTTGTTCTTAGAAACATGCTAGCATTGAGAAATATCGTTATACACAATTCTGAATTTTATAAGAACTCGCTAAAAAGTACAGTTTTTACAATAGCTTTAGCAAGATACTTGGCCACGAGGTCTAGGTCACAATTTTATCTGCCTAATCTGTTTTTTGACTGGTTACGTTGTATGCATTTGGTTCAAATTTTCCTGTCATTCCACTTTCCCTCTCCTTCAGCACAATCTAAAACTGAAATTGTGGAAAGAGTAATTTTTGCACTTGAAATATTTATAACAAAGTACAAACTATAAAATTTAAATACTGTATTCAATCTGTATTATTCCTGTCCAATCACAGTGCAAGTATATATTTATTATAATTGTAGTTCATACCTTAAAGTACCATTTCATTCTTGGTTGTAATTTTTATAGATATATTTTTGGGGGTCTAATATTTAGCTTTATTCAGAAGAGATGGAATCCTCACAACAATGTAAGCAAATGACATTACATTAAAATATAGTAAATATGAGGAAAATATACATATGGTTAGTATTGATGTACCTGTATTAAACAATTTGCTTCTTATTCGTTAGCTTCAGACAAAGACTCGAATGATCTTAAATGCTATATTCACACCTTATCACCTGTTAAGATGTCAGCATCTGGAAAATGCAAGTATTTCAACATGACATTGCAAACTAATGAAGGCAGTAAGACTGCCGTATGCTTCTCCCCCGAAAAAAGGACAACTCTGGAAAAGCACCTCGTAGATAAGAGTCCTGTGAAAATATCCAACTTCAAGTTTAGTTCCAACTACAGCAAAGACAATGTTGTTATTGACCGAGGCTCAAAGATAACAACAGCTGGTGATGATGTTGGTTTTCAGTATCTGGAGATGACACCTCCATCAGTTACATCATTACTGTCACTAAATGAGGTTTCCTCAGAGCAACTGGTCACAGTGAAAGCAAAAGTTGCTAAGGTAAGTGGCAGTAAGAAAATAACAACCTCGAGGAACCCAAATTCCCAATTGATGAAACAAAAAGTTGTGATTGCTGACCCAACAGCATCTATCAAAGTTATCTTCTGGGAGCAGTATGTTGATAGCCTAAAAGAGAATCAGACATATGTATTCAAAAATCTACGCCTGAAACGTGAGAATAACAGCAGATCTATATACCTAAATACACCTAAGAGTTACCAGTTTTCATTTGAAGAATGTGAGGAGTTTTCAGAATCTGTTGTAGAAGATATGCATTTATTTTCCACCGTTGAAGTCAGTGCAGCTATTATTGGGGTTGAATCAATCTCCACTTATCAAGCATGCCTCAAATGTGGGAAAAAAATTGTTTCCAAAGACCCCAGATGGAAAGGTTTTGCAGTGTGAAGCATGTTGCATGATTCAAAAGATTTCCCCCGCAAAAAAACAATGGTTTTTAAGATGTCTATTTGCTAATCTGAAGGATGAAGGGGAAACTATTAGTTTGGCTATATTTAATGAGAATGTTAAATCAATAGTAGATCTGATTCCACAACCCATCTGTTTGTCTGACGTGGCTCCAGATGTCTTAAGTGCTGCACTTCTGGCATTGCCTGATGTGAAAATAACTTATGACTCGGTCGCAAAAAAGTTAATTCATATTGCTGAAATTAACATTCAATCTACCGCAATACACTTGGTATTTGTTGACACTCCCTTGACGTGTATTAGACATTGTTATTGTGTTCTCATGCATATATAAACAGAAAACTTTGGGTCCTGCACCCTTCTGGCAAAAATCACTATTGCGTTTTGTTAGTATTGCTATTTTTGTAATACAATGTTCATGTTCCCTTTGCTTGGTATTAGGGAGTGTTCATAAAGTATGTGCTACCCAAGGGTGGAGACATTATCAGTTCTTACAAAATTATTTGATACCCGCTTAAAATCTGAGAAAATTTGGTACCCCATACCCATCCTCAAACAGCAAACAATATTGGATGTTTAGACAATATCCCATCGCAAAAAACAGCACTCTTACTAAACCTCTGATGATATATTTTCATTTACCAACTCCAACAAATTTGTTCCTACTTTTGAAATTTGATTACCTGACTGTATTTGTTAGTAAACTGATCCTGTTTTTCTTCTGTTTAGAAAAGCAAAGAAAAAGTCATACCTCACCCTAAAAAAATATAGTTTGTTTCATACTCCACCCTTATCATTATGGGAATGTCCATACCCCATCCAAATGTCTCTGCCCCCTGGTAGCAAATGCTATATGACCATTCCCAAGGCATTAGATAATTGTATTTTGTTTTTATATAAAATAAACAGAAAACTTTGGGTCTTGCACCCTTCTGACAAAAATAACTATAATTGTGTTTTATTGATATTTGTCTCTGCCTACCTGTTTGTCCGGATATTTTCCTGGGATTTACTGTCGGAACTCGGAAAGGGGAGCAACCGTAAGAATCTGGAAGAATCTGCTACGAATATTTGCGATTGCGCACGCATGTTTCGCGTTCAATGTGTATGTCCATATGGTTAAGTGATTTGTTGACTGTTCACGAAAGATTTTCATATTAAGTTTCATATATTTCTGGAAAATTTAGGCAAGTATGACTTCCTATTTCTTTCCTCTGATATTAATCAAGGCGATGAACGTTTTAGTGTTGAATCTAGAGGTAAGCAATGTGCTTTCATGAGCTTATCGGCAGTTTTAACAGCCCAGAATATTCCAATGATAGATTGGTCGAAAACAACTTTAAATAATGTCCTAGTGCAAGGAGACAAAATGTACTTGACCCAGGTGTCGAATTCTTGTCTGTAGATAACTTACCAAAGGTTGTAAGTGGTTCATGTACAAACATGTTTTCTTATGAAATTGAACTACCCATGGTGGTACCCCCTATTGATACTAGAAATACATTGCATGCAGTGACCCCTCGCCGGACCTTAATGCAACAACATCATTTCCGAAACAGTGTAAAAATCATATTATATTTAACAAAATAAAGTATTTACAATAAAATATAACAATTTAAAACAGAACAAATTTAATATTTGCATAACAGTTAAAATAACAAACCCTCAATATTTGGCTATGTTGACATACAGTGATTTCTCATCGGGTAATCGAATTGTTGAGAACGATATTAAGATTGAAAACATTATTGGCTCATTTTTCACATGCTGATATCTCATTAATTGTTTGATTGAATCGCCTTTTAACCCGTAATGTTAATTTTGCTTGTGTATAGAATGTGTGATGTTGAACGTTAAAAATCAATGATGGTATAGAGATTATATGTCAACGTAGCCTAGACTGCACGTTTGAGAAGTTTAAGCACTAAACTTCTCAAACGTGCAGTTGGTAAATTGCATTGAGGGCTTTTGCTGCCCTCGTTTTTGTGTTGTGCGTCCAGTCTGCCGCTGGGGGCACCCAACCCAACCAACAAACAGCCCCTATAAGAAAAAAAAGTCACTATAAGAAAAAAAAGTCATTATATATATTATTTTCATACATTGTGATGGCCAGCGGCGTCTTTAGCGATGTTTAAATATTTGATTAGACCTTCTGAATTCTTTCTGTCACACCGGGCTTGGTATGTTTAGCCCTAGAGTCAAGGTTATATGCTTACAACATCACACCACTTTGCAATTGTTCACGTGACTATACAATACATGGCAATCCATAAGGTATTAAATACATACGCGATTGGCAGGCGCGAGCACGATGGCCCCGCACGCCACACTTGTAGCAACGCCCTAAGGTGGAATATCAAGAAATTATTGGTCTTCTGGCTAACTAAATTCGTGAATTAACTGACCATTGTCAATCAAACTTTATTAACCTGCAATATGTCCACGGAAACCTAAAAGAGAGGAGATGTCATTTTGAGCATCATTGCAATGTAACCATTATTGATCGAGTGTTATGTGTTTACATAGGTAATAACACTAATGAAATTATACCAATTAATACCTGGAGCAAGCCTTTCCCCGAAGAGCAGGGAGCGGATGATGTTCTGAAATGTACGTAACAAACTTGGTTGACACATCGCGTAAATTAGGATATTAAATTGATAACAAAGAGTTTTTAAAAATTGGAAGCTATCTGGAAGCAAATGGTATACATTACATTTCAGTAAAATTAAATGATACAATAATACCTGGGGGCAAGCCTCTCCCTTGTGGTGCAGGGAGTGGATGATCTTCTGAAATGAAACAATAATACACAAATACATAGATGTGGTTTTCAATAATGAACAAAATACATAGATGTGATTTTCATGCATCCACCACAAGGACAACATTTTTACAAAATGGGGGGGGGGGGTTGTACGTAAAATTAAAGAAAGAAGGCAATTGGGTTGAGCTGGTTTGTGGTCTTTTAGCTCATTGGAAAATCTGTAACGGATAACAAAAATGTGAGGTTATATACCACAAATTATGTATATATATTTCTTTATATATGGCTAAGTCAATAATAATATTGTAAACTTGTGCATTGTTGATATAATTGTGGTGGCACAGGATTTACTGTGATAAAATGAGAGTATTTTAGTTGTGCAGGGGGAGCTACAGGATTGCTTATCCTGGCCCACCCATACTCTTAGATCTATGGTGAAGGGAAATTTGTATATAAAATGTATTATACACTTCATTGTTGTGAGAAAAAATGAAAACAGTGCGACAAATAAATAAGATTAATACTTTGAATATTTTTTATTTACCTTCATCACCCTCTGCATCAACTTCAATTTCTAAAATGCAAGAGGCAAAATCTTTAATCAATATTTAGTACTTTGCTAAATTTATACTACAGTATGTGTATATATATGGCCAGAGTATTATAAAGGCCACACTAAATTGATTTATGTCTTTGAGAATGAATCTATCTTTCATATATATGGCATGTTTGTCATGTGCGAAAAGAAAATGTTACCACAAATGATGTATTTCTTATATATGGCCAAGTGCCTATCTGTAAACATACCAAGTACTTCTTCTTCATTTTCCACTAAAATACATAGAAAAATCAGTAATAGTAAAAACATTTACCATTACACTACAACCATGAGAAAAGTGGTTTGTAAACTGGTAGAAAAGAGGTTGAATCTTACTTTTTTCTCTCCTTGTAGATGATCTTATATGCCATCAACATAAAAATATATTGAGTAAACATATTTTAATACTATTTCAAAAGCACTATACGGTTAAAATACATTGTATACTCGAGGCAAGCTTAAAATTCCTTCAATATAGCTACTGAAATGTTATTTTTGAGAAAAGAAATGTATTAAAATAGCAAACTTACATTTTTTAAATAATATTTATGACTTTTGTAGCTGTAAAATATAAAAATACAATAGTTTCATTAGTTTATTGAGAAAAGTTAAACACAAAAGACAATACGCGTCGGCGTTGGAAAAACATGCCAATTTTAAAATGCAATAAAAAGGATACAGAAGTTTCTCCCTAAAATATCTGTGCGTAAATTGGTAAATCAAATTGTCGACTGTGGAATAGTATATTATAATTTATTCGAGCGAATTTTGAAATGTTTAATATTTTATAAAGTTTTTTATTTTGAAAAAGACTTACCGCAGTCCAAAAACAGCAGGATATCGGCAGGATTTTTCGCGCTCTTTTTGAAATTTATGTTATACGTGAATTTTGCGTGTACTTTATTATTGTTACCAGGCAAATCACGAAATATCCCCGCGCGATGGTATTGTGTGTTTTCATTTGATTGTGTTATTGTAAATAGGTACTTACCTGATTGATATAGTGTACATGTCAACAGCCACCCTCAAAAGCATAATACCTGATTCATGTCTAGTAACAGGCAATATGACACATGTACAGTACATTGCCATCCTCAAAAACAAAATTATAGAGGCAAAGTTGTAATAAGACATACAAACTTCACTTCTAAAATTGTGTCTAGTAGCAGGCGACTATGATTTCCTCGAAAGCACATTGGTGCCCAGTATCATTAAACAAAAGGATATAACAACTTACAATACAATCCATATCTTTATATGCATATATTCAATGCTTATGCCTCTGCTCAGTCTTTTCTGCAAGCACACGAAGTCGTCGTTCCGCTTCTTGTCGCTTCTTCAAATTTTTATTCCTACCAATGACTTTCAGACGATCAAATGTCATAGGTTCAAACACAATATCATTAATTGATCTTACCCTAGATGCTGCCACAAATGTGCAGCCAGCAACTCTCTCCCCTTTACCTAAATCAACAACAGCCTTGGTTAGTGTCTGTCCTTGGGACTTGTGTATCGTCATTGCATACCTCAGCCGCAAGGGCAATTGTTGTCTTGACAAATACTTTCCATCCGCCATCCACTCAAACAGTCTTGGAGGCACAGGTATACACTTTGAACATTCTTGTAGAAATGCAGGGCCAGAATATGCTGGAAAATGAACCAGTACTGCAATCGGTAGATTTGGTGGACCCATATTCTCTGCAAACCAAAATTGCTCAACAGTTCCAAAAGAGCCATTGCAAAGACCGACTTCTGCCCAAAGGTTACATGTCAGCATCACTTCTGCTTTGGTTGACAAAAAGAGGACAGCTTCCAAACCACCTGCTTCATCAGATGTTGCCGCACTTGCACCTCGACCAGAATGCCTTGCTTGAATTTTGACCAAGGGTTGTCCAATCTCTAGCAACTTCTCATAATATATTCAGCGACACTTTTTTTATCAAAGTACAGCCGGATTGCATCACTAAATCGATCCATTGAAACGTTAGGTCTGGAGTGCTGTATTAATAGTCTCCAGTCCATCTCGGTAACTTGTCCATCTCTCATTCTCATCAATAGCGCCCTGAATGCAACTACTTCTGGGTCTTCACCAATCTGTCGCATGACCTGCTCTAAAATGACTACATAATCAAATGTTAAATACATACTGTGACCATGGTCACTGATTACAGATCCATTACCTGCAATGTACATTGGTTTATCGCCTACAGGAGGTAACTGGCCGAAATCCCCATTAGGATAATCGACATCCCACCAAATGGGATATCCTCTTTTCCTGTACCTGCACGTAGTCTGTTGTCAAGCCATGAAAGCATCTATGTCCAATCATTGACATTTCATCAATAATGAGAAACCTCTTACCTTCCAATCTGAGCTGCAATCTCTGTAAGGAATCGCCCTGTAATTCTCTGTATTCCCGAATCGGAAGTTGAGCTGCGGAATGCAAAGTTTGACCACCAATACTGAATGCAGCAATTCCGGTGGTTGCTGTGACAATACATTGGTGTTGCAATACTTGCTTTAGGGCACTAATTAAATATGTCTTACCTGTGCCAGCAGTACCACTTACAATCATATGTAGTGGTTCACATTCATCATTAGCCATGGATGCAGTGATAATGTCAAATGCCAGTCGCTGTTTGTCATTCAAGGTCCCTGGGTCAACCACCACTTGTTGGTCACCTGTTTGATACTGCATACCTTGCTCCTCTGCATCCTTTCTCTGTTTAGAAATCCACCCAGCAGATTCTCTCAACAAATCCCCAGGCACACCTCTTGCTGCTTCGAACCAATCCACTGCCTCGTTATTTGCCATTTGATCTCCTGCATCCTGGATCTCCTTGCACGGCTATCCTCATACGTTTCTCCCTTCTTTTTCGTCTCCTGCTTTCTAATGCGGTTATTGTCCGACATTTCCATGGAAATTGTCTTTCTGTGTTGTTTTTTTTCAAATATAAAGCAATTGTTCACAACACTGTAAAGGTTTCTGTAATTTGCTTTTGTGAAAGAAATTAAATTCAAATTATAATGACAGTTAATTTACTCACGTAATTTTGTTTAAAAAATTTAGGCCTTAGCCAATCATAAGCTAGTTAGTTACCAGTTCAAACTTGTCTTAAACTCATGCATGCGCATAACTTACAAAAACGCCCAACGTCCATGACATAATGGCGGACAACTTTCATTTCGCATTTGCATTCCCGGGCGTAATTCCTAATCTCCGGGCGGAATTAGTACCCTCGCCCGGCTCGGGGAAAATTTATTGATTGTGATAAAGGTATCCCAACAATCGATGATTTAAAAAATGAATTTGGTGTAAGAACATTGTTAATCCTAGATGAACTAATGGTTCATGTTGGTTCGGCAACTGCATCATGCACAGCATCAGAAAATCAAAGAGATTTGAATAATTTAGTTTGCCGCGATAGTCATCACCATGACATGTCATTGATATTTGTCTGCCAAGATATCGGGTATAAATATGTCCTTTCAACATTAAAAAAAATAGTCATTATCATTGTGTGTTTATCAATCATACAGATGTAAAGCCAATTTACCAAATGGCCTAAAAGCAAAGGAATTGAAAAAAGAAGATTAGATGAAATATATAATGACATTAAAGATAAAAAGAATTCGTATTTGTTTTTTGATGGAAACCTGACAGCTATGCAAATGCACGATGTCGCACAAAAATAATGCCAAATGAAGACACAACATTGTATATAATTTAATTTTCTTTATTAATGAAATAAAAGTTTTACATTTCTGACTATTTTCTACTTTTTTACATTTTTCTTCATATAAAGATTTAATGTCAAAATTGTTTTTGGATATTTCAAATAATTTCATTTCATTTTCAAGTGTTTTTCTTACTTGTTCTTTTTTTTTAATTTTACCCTTCACACCAAAAAATATTTCATTATCCTCCAGAAATAACGATTCATTCCAAAGATATAATAAACTCCACATCCCGCATGTTACAGTAAACATGTTTTGGAATAAATTTGTTATTAACGTGAATCAATTGTAAATCATTTTCCTTTGCGAATGTATTCCAAAATTGTTGGTATTTTTCCGCTTTTATTCCAAAACTGTCAAAAAAAACATTTTGCCCGCCTTTATTTTTACTGCAACCAAATGTTGACCTGGTTTATTAGCTGTATCTGTATTCCATATCCATGAACATTTTTTATTTAATTCACTAAATGGTAAAATATCAGCAGGATATGCAACCAGAAAATTGTCTATGTATTTTTTTCCAAGTTTATCAATGTCATCGGTCATCAAATACTTGCTAACAAAACAGATCGCATTAATCTTCATTACTTCCCCATTAATGAAGAAAGAAGAGGCATTGCCAACATTGGAGCCATCATTGCCAAGGATCCAACACCCCCTTTTTGTTTTATATATATTTTTTCCTTTTTCCAACAATTTTTTTTCCGAAACCACCTTTTTGTGTTTTTGCAAAGTGTGCTAATTTTTTTCGTCGTTTAATTCGTTTAATTCTATTATAATTGGGAAAGGGACCAGGATTTCCAAAAATTGGCCAATCATTAATTATCCCACCTCTTTGTTTTATTTTATTCGTCAATCTCCTTGAAGCCAACCCGCTAAAACCTTTTTGCTTTCTTTTTACACCCATTCCCATTTGTTTCATTAATAACAATGGTAATATTCCACCTTTTTGTGTCATGTTTGTACAACTTTCCTTTTAAAGCAAAGAATTTATAAGCTTTAAACTCCAACCCTTTTTGTTTCCTTTTTCTCCAAAAATACCTGGGTGTTTTACAAAATGTTTTACTTTATAAGTTATTACTACTACTATTTGTAAATATTTTCCCAAAAAAAAATTCTTGAAACATAAACATTACTTATTTATATAATTTTCGTCTTTCTACACGTGAATAGGGATAGTCTTTAGCTCTTCGTAATTTCTCAGCAGTTCTTATTAAATCATCTGATTTTTTCAGTGCTGCATCAGCTTCTAATAATGGTGATCCGCGTCTTGATCTTGGAATACACGATGTAAATTCATCACTGCTTTCACTAGCACTGCCATCAATCATATTATTGTACATGGTTCTTATTCCTCTATTTTTTATATATGACACAGGCATTTTACTTTTTTTTAACTTTGTTAGGGCAAAATTAAGACTTCCCTCACCCAGATTTAAATTTTGCATTGCTCTTTGGTGTGATAAATCATAAACCAAATCAGATTGCATTCGTTCGGTTATTATGATTTTTTTATGTTTAATAAATTTAGCAATTTTTTCAGCATCTCCATTATCAAATTGCAGTTGTTTTTCATCTCCATCTTTTTCTTCCCTCTTTTTCATTGTTAATGGGGGGAGAATTATTTTTTTCCTTTTTTCCTTCCAAAAATTTCTCCTTTTTTCTCAAAAACTGAATAACAGCATTTTCACAATCTGAAATATTACCCTGCTTCATTTTTCATTCGCCATCAACATTTGTTGAAATTTCGCAAAATCTTCAACAAAATTTGCAACGCAAAATCTTCAATAAATAAGATCTTCAAATCTTCTGAACTAAATTTGTCTTTTACCACTTTTTTAAGCAAATGTTTCTCCGTATCAGTTAAATTTATACTAATTTTTTCATTAACAATATTTGTAGCAAGATACATTAAATTCCTTTTTATATTATTATCGTATAGCTTATTTTTTGTTTTCATATGAACATGAAGAAAACATTTCAAATTGAATAAACAAGACTTATTTTCTTTTTTTCTATGTTTGTTTTTAATTTTATTCTCATAAGAAATTATTTAAATCTCATAAGAATGTTAAATAATGTATCTGTATTAATTTCCTCTTCATCACTGCTCATTTCATCATCTCCAATATTTCCAATTGATTCAGGTGTGCTAATTTCTTCATCAAATTCATAAATTAATTCATCATCATTATTACCAGCATCATAATTATTCTCTTGATCAAAATTAAATTCAATTTCTGATTGGGGGGGTTCGTCTTCATTTTCCGCATTTTTCGTTTCTTCTTTTTGTTCATTTTTCTTACTTTTGCTTCCATTACTTACGCATAAAGCGAAATCGGAATTTTTTTATGTATAATGGGACGTTTAAACCTAACACCATTGATGAATAACGACACCAAATGGATAATGAATACAATATCTTTTTTATTTTAAATATTCACATTGGTGATTTTTTGGTTGTGGCTTGAATTTTTTTTTCTCATTTTTTTAAAATGTATATAGTCTTCGAGGCTCCTGTTGATACGAAATGTGAATTTGGTTTCGAAAATCTCCAATAAATACAACACGCTAATTATTTGCAACATCTTGAGATAAACGTAAATCAACCTAAACATTTCCAGTTGTATTCAATGGAAGAGTTTTTAAATGACTATTTCGATTTGGTGTTAACTCAAACATTATCACAGAATATCCATTTTCATAATCCTCGTAAGGAAAAGGCATTTCGCAAAATTGTTTTCCGAGATGATCACGCAACAAATTGTATGCTTGTTTCGAATTCTTAAGTTCAGGATATACAACATTTCCATTTTCTTTAACAGAAACAAAATTTAAATTTCCCCATATAAAATTATTTGGGCTTCGTGCAAAATCACCTTCAAAATCTCTTTGATCAATCAATAGAATAAACAAACGTGAAGGTGTTTTTCCATTAAAAATATTGGTTGCTTGATAATTTCAAATGCCGGCACTAATCGTTTGAACAACGCTTCGGTATTCCGAGGTGTAATATTTACACTCTTCAGCTTTATCAACCATCGTTTTATTTATTGCTGTTCACATTTGTTCATTTGGTTTAAAAATTGGGAATGTTAATCGTAAATTAGATAAGTGTAGACGCCACGTTGCCGCTGTTGCAGCACCAGGCCCCCCACCATCAGCAGCAGCCAAAATAAGATTATTTGCAGCTCTTGTTAATTGAATTTCAATGTCAAAACTTGTAGGTAAATATCGATCACGACCATTATCATTAAAAATGGTGCAAGCAAGAATATCCTCGGCATAAAATGATGCTCTTGGTTTTGTTGCAAAATAATGTCTTCGTTCAGCACCATAATTTCCAAGGGCATCAGCAAGGTTGTGAGAAAGAACTCGATCACCGTGATCACTGTAATTAAAAGCACCCGCTGTATCTCTGTATGTGAGATTAATTTGCTGACCATCATTATAAGTGTTCAGTCATTAACCATTCAAGGTATGCATGTAACCCCTCGTAATTACTTGACAAGTTAATTAGATTATGATTTATTTTAATCTCCTTTGTTTTCCACATGGTGCATAAAAAACATGGGGATTTTAATAAACATCGTGAATCAGCTGCTGCAGCCACAGCATTATTTGTGACATGATTCATCAATTGACAATCAGCAGAAATTCGTACTTTGTTTATTAAAATTAATCCGGATGGTGTTGCTGAGTGACAGAATGTGTAAACGTCGGCAAGCGGGTCAACAGGAGTGGCATTAATAATTTCATGATGATTTGCTACAAATGTTTTATCAACAGAAAAATTTCTGTACAACTCGATCCCTGTTGCATAAGCATTATCTGTTTTTTTTTCTACCCCCTCTTTGCTTTTTCTTTCCACGTTGACGTTTTTTTCCCCGGAAAATCCCTTCTCCCATCTGTCGATATCGATGTAATCTCCTTCGATGATAAACCATTTCTTAATCTCCACCAAAAATTGTTTTTAACACTTTTGCGTCGATTCGGGATTTTCTTTTCTGTTGTTTTCCTGAATTTCGTTTTAAAGTTGTTTTTTCATTCAAATTACTCGGAGGAATTAGATCCGTGCTTGTGGCTTCAACAATTGATTCTTTTTTTATTTCCCCCCCCCCTTTTTTATGCTTTTTATGTAAAATAAGTTTCCAGCATAATTTTTTCCTCGTGAATTTCCGTATAACATTGATTTACACAACTCAATATCTTGTAAAAACCACATTTGTACGCGAAATATATAAACAGAGTATTGTGTGCATTTCTGTCGTCTTCGACAACGTAATCGACATCAGTCGAACCCTATACAGTTTCTGACTACTTCGTTTTGGAGTTTATGCGGAACTTTCGAATGTTTGCGAATATTTGAATAGAATTGACGGCGAGTTTTGATAAATTAAAATACTCCGTTCGCATCCTGAATTGGCACTGGTCTATATATTGCGTATATCTGGAAGGTGATCTATATTGAATTCAATGAGTTGAGGAATAAGTATAATCGTGTGGTATAATTGTTGGTTTATACACGGAATTACAAAACAAGGACGTAATAAACATTAGAATAATAATGTAAAGCGGATCTGCTGAGAAATGAGTAAACAGGATTTGAACGGGAGATTGGATATGAGCGTTGTACGAAAGCATCACGTTACTAGCGATGAGGTATCACAAAGGCAAGTGCACCCCTCAGTTGCTGATAGTTCAATTGAATATACTACCCGCTGGGTGAATAGCGTTCAGCCGCCTGAGAAAGCCCGATCTGTTGATATAGTAGGAAGTACAAAACTTGCAGAAAGGCATCCCCAGAGAATAACAACTCGTTCCGCGCCAGCCTTGAGCCGGAGATCAAAGTCGTCTAGAAGATCGTACTCAAGAAGTAATAAATTGGAACTAGAGCTAAAGAACCTGAGAGAGGAGCAAGAGTTATTTAAAGAGAAGAGAGAATTTGAGCTAGAAATTAAAATGCAAGAAATTGAGAGAGAACGAAGGATGGCTGAATGGAGAGAGCGACTAGAATTACAGCAATTAGAGGCTAGACTGGCAACGGCAAAGTTGGGAGAGCATTTAGCATCTGAAGATGGTGATACAGATCTAGAATCTAACCAAGGGGAAGATGTTATGGATGGAAATCCTTCTGGCTTTGCTGGTAATCAACTGCAACAAGCTGTTCTGAGGGACAATGTATTCAAACCCCACAGAACGCTGGCGAGCCAACGTTTCATACCCGATTATCAGGATTTGCGAGAGCAGCAGCAAACAATGGTGGACCCTCCACAGTTAGAAAGCGGAGACATGAAATTACCACAACAACAAGAGCAATTGTTTACACCCATACCTCAGCCTGATGCAAAACCCAATGAACCTCCCATTGATGGTGGGACAACAAGCCCATGTTGATGCTGAGAATAACCCTAATCAAATCCACACCAACTTAGTGGAGAATGATCAACGAGCTTTCAAACAGCAGCAAGAGATGCTCAGGATGATGGCGACTACCATTGGTTTTTCAATAAGTAAAGGTTTTGAGATGCCGAAGAGAGAATACCTGAGCTTTGATGGAAACCCTTTAGCATATCCAAGTTTCATTGAAAATTTTAAAACCAATGTGGAGGACATCGAGAGCAACGCCAATGCCAGACGCAACTTTCTGATTTAGCTATGTACTGGAAAAGCAAAAGATGCCATCAGTGGAACTGTTATGCTTCCTCCCGAAGAGAGATATGCCAAGGCAAAGTTGATTTTATGAGAGATGTTTGGCCAGAACCACATTGTCGCAGCATCACATATCGACCGAGTAACCAAGGGGGGAGTGATCAAGGAATTTGAAACTGAAAAACTTTTGCAACTAGCCAGAGACATGGAGAATTGCCAAATGAACTTGAGCAAGCTTGGTTACCACGCGGATATTAATTTGAGAGGAAACATGACCGCTGTCGTATTACGATTACCAAGATACCTGCGTTCCGAATGGGCAAAGGAGGCGCAAATTACAAGGGATCAAGGTAAAGAGCCAGATTTCCCCCAGTTGACGAAATCCGTTCGGAGGAAGGCAAGATTGGCAAATACCGAGTATGGTCGCCTGATTAACACAAGATCTGGAGTTGAAGGAGAAAACACTAAGATACCTTATTCTGGTAGGCACACTTGTAAAGCCTCCTCTTTCACGCTAAGTGGAACCATCAATGACGGCAATTCTTCACTTTCCGGCTGCACGCCTGTGAAACCGAAATGCATCTTTTGCAAAAAGGATGGTCATAATATTGGAAAATGTTTCAAGTTCCAAGAGAAAACATATGATGAAAGAAAAAGTTTTGTTTCCAAGAACGGACTGTGTAATCTTTGTCTGTCGAAAGGTCATTACGTCAACAAATGTAGAAAGACTCATGGATGTCTCGTCCCTGGTTGCGGAAAACGACATCACCCAATGCTTCACCCTGTGTCGACTAATTCTGCCCCAAAGGCAGATCGGTCCACTCAAGGCGCGACAGCACAGACAGGACACTGTGGAGCAACCGGAACGTTAAAGAAACCGGAACGTTAAAGAAACCGGTTTGCTTGAGAATTATACCAGTTAAAGTGTTGGGGAAGGACAACGACGTTGAGAAACTTACATACGCGATAAGAGACGAAGGCTCAAATACAATGTTAGTGAAAGAAAGTCTTGCAAACGAGTTGAAATTAAAAGGACAAGCTGTGGATTTCCAGCTGACTACTATGAATGGAGTATCTCAAGAATCGGGAAAATCTTATACTTTATACGTGCAAGGCCTTCGTCAGAAAGACTGTTTGGAAATTCAAAATGCGCTTTCAGTCAAAGATCTATCTGTTGCCAAAAGCTGCATTCCCAGTAAAGAAGATATTGCGAAGTGGCGACATTTCGACGGGATCTCTGTACCAGAATTAGAAAACCCTAAAGTTACCGTTCTGATAGGAGCCGACGTCCCTGAGGCGCACTGGAAACTCGAGGAGAGACGCGGTCGAAAGAAAGAACTGTATGCGGTCTGGACTCCGTTAGGATGGTCCATAGCGGGTCCTTTAGGAACTAATCCTAATAACAACGTGAGTTCCTTTCATATTCGTAAGGAAGATGAGTTCCTCCGCGAGACTGTGGATCAAATGTTTCAAAGGGATTTCAGTAAATCAACTTATTCCCCGGTGCTGAGCATGTCGTTAGATGATAAGAAAGCTTTGGCTACTATGAAAAGTTCTCTAATAGTAGATAGCGATGGCCACTATCAGTTGGATCTCCCATTTCGCAAGAAACCAAATTTCCCCAACAATCGATCCATGGCAGAAAGACGGTTGCGTTCTCTAAAAATGCGTTTAAAGAAAGACGAAGATCTCCACGTGAAGTACAAAGCAGGTATTGATGACTACGTTGACAAAGGATATGCTGCGAAGGTCAAGTCAAGCGAAGTGAGCAACGCAGGCAACGAGAGTGTATGGTATCTCCCACACCATCCAGTTCTGCATCCACAAAAGCCTTCAAAACCGAGAATCGTTTTCGACTGCGCTGCAAAGTACGAGGATGTTTCCCTGAATGACGAATTGCTCCAAGGCCCAGATATGATGAATACTTTGGTTGGTGTATTGATCAGATTTCGTCAGGACCCGATTGCCTTCCTAGTGGATATAGAGGCAATGTTTTGTCAAAATTCGAGTTTCTCCAGAGCATCGGAAGTTCCTGAAATTCCTATGGTGGAAAGATGGTAATTTGGAGCAAGAACCAGAAGAATACGAAATGTTGGTTCATCCTTTTGGTGCAACTTCTTCACCAAGTTGCACGGGATTCTGTCTAAGGAAGGTTGCTGAGGAATTCGAAGGCGAATTTGATGCCGAGACCATTCAGACTATCCGAAAGAATTTTTACGTTGATGGCTGTTTGAAGTCGTTGAGATGTACGGAGAAAGCCATCCAATTGATTCAAGAACTTTGCCATATTTTGGCAAGCGATCGTTCCGATTGACAAAATTTGTGTGCAATGATGTGAGAGTCCTGTCTTCGATTCCTGAAAGTGAACATGCGAAGTCCATTGTCAGCCTAGACTTCGACAAGTTACCAGTAGAGCGTGCTCTCGGAGTAGAGTGGAACGTGAAAGAAGATGTCTTCGGTTTCCGAATAACCGAAAGGAAGAAAGCTGCAACACATCGAGGAATCTTGTCGGACGTTAGCTCTATGTACGATCCGTTGGGTTTCGCTGCACCTTTTGTCCTGCCAGCCAAGCGTTTGCTACAACAGCTATGCAAAGATAAAATCGGTTGGGATGAAGAAATATCACCAAGTATGCTTCAAGTTTGGGAAAGATGGTTAAATGATATGCCTCGTCTCCGAAATATTGAAGTTCCGAGGTATTTCGAACCTTGCAAAATGGGGCCCTTGAAAACTACCCAGCTACATAATTTCTGCGATGCATCCTTCGATGGCTATGGCGCTGTATCGTACCTACGCTTTGGAGACGTAGCCGATCGTGTAAATTGTGCCTTGGTGATGGCAAAGTCGGGAGTAGCACCGATAAAGCCTACGACTATCCCAAGGTTGGAATTAACAGCGGCAACTGTGGCAGTCAAGCAGCATCGCCAGATCAATCAAGAATTGGACTTAAAGGTTGACTCGGTTACGTTCTGGACTGATTCCACCTGTGTGTTACGATATATAAACAGCGAATCCAACAGATTCAAAACATTCGTAGGCAATCGAATAGCTCTTATCCACGACCTCTCAAGTCCAACAAGCTGGAGATATGTAAGTTCTAAGGATAATCCTGCCAACTATGCGTCGCGAGGTTTGCGACCGACTGACACCCATGAAATCGACCAATGGATTAATGGACCAGACTTTCTTCAAGGTAAAGAAGAAGTTGGCCAACCTGTCCGAAAGACATTAACGTGCTTCCCGATGAAGCTCTCGAATGGAAGAAAGAAGCCACCATTTACGAGACAACAGGTTAAACCATTGGACATTTTTATTCAACATTATTCGTCGTGGTATCGTCTCCTAAAAGGAATTGCATGGTTGACACGATTCGTGTGCTACCTGTGCGCCACTCACAGAGTCAAATATGCTGCGCGCGAGGTGACGCGTAGTTCGAGACCCTATAGCGTTGGTGATCATACTGGGGCCGGAGTCGACCCATTATCCGTAGAAGAGCTACGAAGCGTGAAGGAAAGCGTTATTGATTATGTGCAATGTGAATGTTTTCCGGATGAAGTGGCTCACCTCAAACCTACACGGAGCGACAGATCCAACAGACGAGTTGTTAAGAAATCAAGTAAATTAGCTACATTATCACCTTTCATGGGAGAAGATAACTTGATAAGAGTCGGCGGAAGATTAGAAAGAGCCGAAATACCTTTCAATGCTAAACACCCGATCATAATTCCGAGTAAGCATCACATTGTTGGTCTCTTCATTCGTCACTATCACGAGCGAGAAGGACACTCAGGAGTTCAAGCTGTATTAGCTGCCATCCAACAAGACCTCTGGATTCTCCAAGGACGCTCCAGAATTTGTTACATCATTGATCAATGCATAATCTGCCGTAAGAAATACGAACAACCCTGTGAGCAGATGATGGCTTCACTTCCAACCCCTCGCGTGACAGCCTTCGAGCGTCCGTTCTCCTCAACCGGCGTGGATTATTTTGGTCCGTTTCTAGTTAAGCGTGGCAGATGTCAGGTGAAACGATATGGTTGTATTTTCACATGTTTGGCTATGAGAGCCATCCATATCGAAGTAGCACAATCGAGAAACCTGTCGGTCAAGGACTTGGTTCTAATGGTGGACAAAGACTGTCCGCGCGGAAAATGGCCTATGGCGGTGGTCAAGGAAGTGTTTCCAGACGAAAAAGGAATTGTGCGCCACGTGAGAGTGAGGACAACCGGTGGAACATTTAAGAGAGATGTTCGTAAACTTTGTTTGTTAGAAGGAGATGTAAACAATGATAGCTAAATTGTTCACCTAGCTTTACGTATGGTGTGTTTGGTTAGTCTAGATACTTCTTGTGGTTTATCTAGTGTTACGGCGATAGGGGCCGGTATGTAGTATCTAGGCCCGCAAATGTTACAGCCTGTATGCAGGCAGACAAAAAAAACGGTTAGAACCGGTGAATATTGGGTTTTTATATTGCTTTCTGTTTGGCACAGCCTGCTGTTTGAGTGTATATCATGTTTATTCATATTTATTAACTTGCAAAGAAAAACAGTCAGGTAGGAATTTGATTGTTCAGTGCAATCTTCGATCATGTTATTAGTTTTATCTGAGATATCGTAAATTGTATTTGTAGAAACCACATTTGTACGCGAAATATATAAACAGAGTATTGTGTGCGTTTCTGTCGTCTTCGACAACGTAATCGACATCAGTCAAACCCTATACACAACTTGCAATACTTCTCTATAAAACTTCTCCTTTATTACCTCGTTATTTAAGTTGGTAATTTCATATGTTATGGGATCAGTGACAAAAACTTTACTAATTTTAAAAATCTCCCCTCTCCATCTTTGCAAACTGGATTTTTCAAACACTGAATTTTTCGCACGTGCAATTCTAACTTTTTGTCCTTTTTTCAAAAAAGAATGAATAATGGAGGGATTTTTAAAAATCTTTAATAATCTTTTTTCAATCGGTATTTTTTTTCTATCAAAATATATATCATAAGGAGAATTATTAAAAAGTGCTTTATGGGGAGAATCATTGTATCTTTGAACAACCACATGAATATACTTTGAATAATTAAAATTATTAGTGACAGAAATAACACGTCTAACCATTGTTTTCAATGTTTGGATAACACGCTCAACATGCGATGCTTTAATTTCACGATTAAAAGTATGAAATAATTCGAAATTATACTTTTTACTTAATTCCTTTCTAATTTTTTGAAACTCAGTTCCCTCATCGCTTTGAATTTTCTCAGGAATTTCTTCGCTATGATGTAAGATTTCTTCAAATTTCTTCCCAACATTGTTACTACTTTTATTCTTCAACAATTTCAAAAAAACGTATTGAGAATAAACATCAATACAAACTAACCAATATTTATAACCATAATTATATCTTGCTAAATAATTCAATTCAGCTAAATCTATTGACCATTGTTTATTTCTAGCATTAACATATATTTTTAATGGTTTATACGACTTTTGTTTTTTTATGCAATCTACATTTTTGTAAGTCATCACTACTTAACGTCTCCCCTTTCAATAATCGAGATGCTTTCTTTATTAAATCAATGTCAAAACTTTTACTTCCTATTTTTTTCGCTGGCATTACTTCTTACAATCTAAAAAACAATCATACCGAATTAAAAATCGTATCAATACAATCTCCTAACATCTGTTCATGTCGAACAAAAAACCGTTTAAATAATCAACACCAGCATACATGATAGATTTTTGCAGATCATCTGAGCTGCACCCTCATGCAATAGACAAAGAATCTGAATATTTTATAACTTCATCAACAACATCTTTTTCCCCATGCAATTTCATTCCCGCTAAAATAACACTATTAATAAAGTTATAATCTTTCTCAACCTCGCTAACACAATCATCATCATCATCTTGTTCATTTTCCTCCTCCTCGTCAAGAGCTGCAACTTTACGCTTTCGTGGCGCTGTTTCCTTTGCTTCTTTATGCTGAATGTACTTTGATAAAGCCTTCACAATCACCCCTTTTCTCGTTGATAATCCGAAATAATATTTCTCAAACACATCTTTTCATTCAACCGATGGTGGTGGTGGTGGCGGTGTTGTAACAACCATTTCCTCACCATCATCTTCCCTAGTTTCACTATCGACATCAATAACACAGTCTTTCGTGATGGAATCAGCAGCATATTGCGTAGTTAAGTAATACCCAAAGTTGTCATTTTGAACAATAAGTTGTTTCTTTTTTCCACGATCAACAAACTCCTTGATCAATTTATCAGCAACAGATCCATTTTTTAAAGATAGATCAGTTGATCTGTGTTACAACCACTTTCATATTTCTTTTAATTGCGGAAGTGAAACAGCAACACGTGCATGAGGATACAGTCGAAACTGTTTACAATCAGTATTGCAACTATAAGGAAAAACTTTTGCTAAGAATAAGAACCTCGGAAGGAATCATGATAGACAACTTTCTGATCATTTTGTCAACCAAAAGACGTTAGATAATGCGACTCATCAATAGCATTATCCTTAACAAAAACATCAGGCTTCTGAATTAATTCCATCTTAAAAGCTTAAAGCGATATATAAGACTAAACAACAAAACAAGCATAAACGCAACACGAATGACATCAAATGATTCACTCCGTTTTATACCCGATAAAATATAACCAATTCGATTGGTTATCTCTTCTTTTTTGTGTTTGCGCGAAAAAATAAAATACCCAATTTTTTTAATAATAAATTTACAAAATGCTAAAAAAGTAAGTAAACGAGAAAGATTTGTCACGGAAATTTCCTTAAAAATTATATATACAAAATCAACTGTTTTAAAGTTGCATGCGGAAAAAAAAGTCTCAATATATATATATATATATATATATATATATATATATATATATATATATATATATATATATATATATACATATATATATTCATATATATATATATATATTTTTACATATTTTTTGAAAAAATTAATTCACGTTTCAAAATATCTAACATAGAATTACTTAGAATTAATTTATTGTCGCTTATATTTGAAAATTCGAACCTATTTCACCTGTCTTTATTTTTGAAAATATTGAGAAGGAATACTCTATTACATTTTTATAATTACAATATCCCCCACCCAAAGATAATTTCTCAACTTCAACTGTTTGAATAAGTTTATTCATTTCAAGAAGTTTCATTTTTACCAATATTTCAGAAATGTTTTGTCCGACACTTTCAGGAAAAATATCAGCAATTTCCAAATTTAAAAAATAAAATCTTGCCCTTGCATCTGTTTTTCGATTTTCAAATTGAATAATTCCCATCATCGTTTCATCAATAGGTAAATAATGAACCCATACATATTTCACATTTTTTAATTCAGTATTGAAAAATAAATCATTTTTTTTTACTAAATCCACATTCAAAAAAGAATGTCTTTCCACTCATTTTTTTTTAAATGATATCATTCCTCTTTCCAAAAGTGGTGTGGAATGAGGATTATCAACAAGAGAATATGACTTAAATAATTCATCGCTCCGCCACATTTCATTAACATTTTTTAAAAACACACCAACAATATAGGTATCATGTTTATCGTTCACATCGAAATTCTTGCAATAAACATTAAAATTATCATCATACATACAAACAAGAAAAGATATCAAGACGTTGTAGAATAAGTAAGGATTTCAAATCAGATTTTTCACAATTTAAAATTTTATGCAAAACAGTATTTAAACTAAATTGATACTTAACTCCACGCTCAATAAGACAATTAAAACACGCTATTAATTTTTTAACGCGTAAATATAAAAAAGACAAAAACAAAAACATGTATTTTTTTTTACATCGAGAGCAATGAAAAAGATGAAAAAAACAAATCTGAATTTGTATATCAAACGCCAAAATTATAATTCCATATTTCAATCCAATTAAAAATAAATACTTAAACATCGGTAAATTTGAGTTTGCACATACAAATGTTGATTGAATTTCTGAATACGAAGGTGGTAAAAAATCATGAATTTTGTTTTGATTTTCCTGTAAAACGCATGCAAAGGCACCACGATGATAAATAAACGAATTTAAACAAAAATAATCTGGAAATGATATCCTTTGCGTTTTATCGAAACATGAGATTAAACTTTTTCTCCCCATCCCGTAAACTCTTCGACACTTACAAAAAGATGGGAAATACAAAATTGGGGATAAATCATAATTATCCAAATTTAAAACACAAAACACTCTGTACCATTGATAGGGAATAACAAAAACAGAAGTAGAAATATTAAGTTTTTTAACCACCATGGGTATAGATGATGGGGATTTTTTTACTCTCTCCCATCCCGAATTATTTAGGAAAACAAACACAACATAATCATTAACACGAAGAAAAAGTTCGTAATCTAAATGCAAATGTGATTTTTTAAAGTATTCTTGACATACTTTAACAACAAAATCACCATATATTGACTCCGTCCAAACATTATTTAACTTTATTGGTCTTCTTTTACTTGAAAGTGTTGGTTTCGCTTTTCTCAAAACTGAACAAACATCATACAGCACCCATAAAATAGAATGATAAGGATACATAGATAGCAAAACCATAAATGCCTTCAAACAAATAAAAGATGAAAGCATTTTTTTCAAAAATCTCAGCACGTAAAATTTCGAATTATATTAATATTCTTCTAAAGTGATCTACTTTCATCATTAAAATCACTTTTATACTGCTCCCACTGACTTCGTAATAACGCATCCCTTTCACACATTTCTTTATATTGAGCCTCCCACGCATCCAGTCATCAATATCTTTTTGCAAATCCTTTTTTTCGTCTTTAATAAACTCAAATTCAATGATCAATTTGGCATTTCTCTCTTTTAACGTTTGACACTTTAATTGAAACCTTCATCACAGGGCGAGCAGACTGAACCAACTCCTCCCTCAGTAGCAATTGCAACATGCAAAATAAACAAAGACAAAAAAAGAAAAACACAGAAATACAAAAGGAAATAAAAAAGTGGAAACAAATGTGTGCAGGTATGTGCTATATATATATATATATATATTATATATATTATATTATATATATATATATATATATATATATATTATATATATATATATATATATATATATATGTGTATATGTGTATATGTGTATATGTGTATATGTATATATGTATATATGTATATATGTATATATGTATATATGTATATATGTATATATGTATATATGTATATATGTATATATGTGTATATACCCTAACTCAACGTCAATAATATAACAACTATGCA